AATCAGCTGCTTGTAAAGAAGTCAATACTACTTCCACTGGAAGTTAGAATGCTTGAAACACAGTGGACATTGACTGAGGGAAAGGAAGCTACATGTCTCTTACTTTACATTCCCTCCAGGGCCTATACGTGTGTGTGTGTGTTTGTATGTATTATATACATATCACATATGTGTGCATTATATACATATACACACACATACACATATATATAGACATACACGTTAAGTACATGGGTGGGCAGAATGACCTGTACCATTCAAAATTGGTTTTTAAATTAAAAATTTAAATTAATTTAATTTAAATTTAATTTTTAAATTAAAAATTTTAAAACCAATTTTGAATGGTACAGGTCATTCTGCCCACCCATGTACTTAATTTTGTTGAATTTGTATCAGCTAATGGTGCACATGATGGGGCTCTAGTGTATATATTGTGTCATTAGTACAGATAAAGCAACCATTGTATCATGTCTAGCTAGAGCAAAGAATTCTTCAAAATATTTTATCACAGACTGAAAAAGTACAAAACAGGAAAATAGATAATTTATTAGAACATTCGTTTTTTTCTTTTTTCTTTTTTCGAGACAGAGTTTCGCTCTTGTTGCCCAGGATGGAATGCAATGGTGCAATCTTGGCTCACTGCAACCTTCGCCTCCTGAGTTCAAGCGATTCTCCTGCCTCAGCCTCCCAAGTAACTAGGATTATAGGCATGCGCCACTACACCTGGCTAATTTTGTATTTTTAGTAGAGACAGGGTTTAACCACGTTGGCGAAGCTGGTCTCGAACTCTTGACCTCAGCTGATTTACCTGCGTTGGCCTCCCAAGGTGCTGGGATTACAGGTGTGAGCCACTATACCAGGCCTTATTTATTGGAACATTTCTAATGGAAAATACTGAGAAGCGAAATACCTAAGTTTTAGCTTCAGTTCTTTTTATAGAAGTTGCATAACCTTATGCTAGTCTCTCAACTCCCAAATGTCTACTAACACATATAAAAGGGGTACATTCTTATAGTCTTAGCACCTCATAGGGTGGCAATTTGGATTGAATGAGATGTATGGAATAACTTTTAAAAATAGAAAGCGTATTATACATTATTAGGTAGGCACAGCATTGTCCTCATAATAAGCTGAATAATTTTTCCCCCATGTCTCAAATATTAAAGGTAGCCTATCCTCTTATACCTCAGCAACTCAGATGTACAAATTAAAGGTAAAGGGAACAACTTGTAGCAGAAAAACTATTTCAGTATCCTGTTTTTCTTACTCTTTAATAGTTTACATAAAAACTAGATTTAAGATATTATATGCCAGATATTCACTTCTGAATACTGAAAAAATAATGACATATTTATGTATTCTAACACTTTCTTATGGTCTTTCATGTTATCCTTACAAGTACGATAGTTCACAATGGGTGCAGCTATCCTCACTTTACAACTGAAATGTAGATTGAGAGACTTGTCCCAAGCCATACATAATGATTTACAGAGGAGCTGAAACTGACTCAGACCCCGAGCACTTTTCCATTGACTCTCAAACTTTCAGATGTATCAGAATTAGCTGTGTAACTTATTGTAAAGACCAGCTGCTTACAACACAGGTAATTCAGATGGAGGTATTCTGTGGACAATATCATGAAGCATTTCATTAAGTATGCAGAGAAGCACTTGATTTCTTCTGAAGGCATTTGCTTGCTTTGTGTCAGGAGCCCATGAGTTTCAGGGCTCCTGGCAGCTCAGACTCAGTTTGCACTTCTCAATTTAGGAAAATGTGGGATGGATAAATATCCAGTATTGGGATTCCTGGACCTCAAGGAAAGCCCTGGTAAAGGGCTTTCCTTGGCTTGCTCTGGGTGGTTGGCCTGGGAGAACTTGCATCTGTGGGAAGGGCTCTCTGTCCTTTGGTGCCACCTAGGGGCCAGTTACTGATTTGTAAAAAAGAAATTTGGTGGGCTAAAGAGAAAAAATAAAACAAAGGAAAACACAGGAGATTGGGAGAGTTACTCTAGAAGGTTATTTTTTATTCCTTAAAAAAAAATTAAATTGCATTTATACTTTTGGTTCTTTCTCCTTGTAAGACCCCAGACAGGGTGTATGTGTTCACTGTTCTATCCCTAGTTCCTACAACAGTGCCCAACACATAGTAAGTGCTCAGTAACTACTTGTTGAATAAATAAGTGAATGATTGGTGACTGTGCTCTGGTACTAGATGCTATGCTATTAAAAGGACTTCTCTTTGAATCAATAGGGGGCCCAAGTGTGCAAGATATTTATAATCATGCCAGTATACAAATGTTATTGATATATCTATTAAAATAAATAACTTGCATTTTCTCCCATAGTGGATGCCATCAGAGAAGAGAGATATTCTGTTGTTCTAATTTAAAGTACAGCTCAGGCCAGGGCACAGGGGCTTACGCCTGTAATCCCAGCACTTTGGAAGGCTGAGGCAGGTGGATCACCTGTGGTCAGGAGTTTCAGACCAGCCTGGCCAACAGGGTGAAACCCCATCTCTACTAAAAATACAAAAATTAGACAGGCGTGGTAGTGGGCGCCTATAATCCCAGCTACTCAGGAGGCTGAGGCAGGGGAATCAGTTGATCCTGGGCGGCAGAAGTTGCAGTGAGCTGAGATCTCACCATTGTACTCTAGCCTGGGCAACAAAAGTGAAACTCCATCTCAAATATAAATAAATAAAAATAAAGTACAGCTCAAAAGCTTTCTCCTTTCCTTGACCTTCTTAATAGTAATACCACTAGTCCAGGCACAGTGGTTCATGCCTGTAATCCCAGCACTTTGGGAGGCTGAGGTGGGCAGATCACCTGAAGTTGGGAGTTTGAGACCAGCCTGACCAATATGGATAAACCCCATCTCTACTAAAAATACAAAATTAGCCAGGTGTGGTGCCGCATGCCTGTAATCCCAGCTACTCAGGAGACTGAGGCAGGAGAATCACTTGAACCCAGGAAGTGGAGATTGCTATGAGCTGAGATCACGCCATTGCACTCCAGCCTGGGCAAGAACCAAACTCCTTCTCAAAAATAGTAATAATAATACCACCCTTTTTGCAGCGTAAAATCTTTACCCTTTTATAGCGTTCATCACTTACCCACCCTTGGTCTTTTTTTTTTTTTAATTTGCACATAAAACATTTCCTGGCTGATCATTCCTATAATCCCAGCACTTTGGGAGGTTGAGATGGGAGGATGGCTTGAGTCCAGAAGTTTGAGACCAACCTGGGCAACATAATGAGACCCCATCTCTACCAAAATAAAAAATAAAAACAATTATGTCCCTGTATTAATTAAAGGTTTTTTGTTTGCATGTTAACTGAAATTTATTTGAGCTAGCTTAAGCCAAAACCAGGGAAATTACTATAGACATATGGAAATGTCTCATAAAATCGAATAGCAGTAATACAGCTGGACTTACAGGAGGGCTTAGAAGCAGTAAACAACTTAGGCATCAGTATATTCCCTTTACTTCTCTCTTTTTCATTTCTTCTTGCTCTGAAGCCTAGCTTTCTCTAATCCTCAGCCCTCATAGAAACAGATGACTACCACATATGTGGTTTTTATATGCCTCAATTCCAGCCACACATAGAGATTAACTGGTTCTGAATGTCAATTCCAAATTCCTAGTAGAGAAAATAAATTGGCCCAGGTTGGGTTACATATCTAAATCTGATTTAGTGAGCTTTGAGCAGAGCATATACTTCAATAAATGTCTAGTACACTTCCCTAATGGAGTGTCAGTGAGTTGAGCACAGAAGTCATGGTTTAATAAACATTTTTATGTACTGAGAGTACATTGTTCAGATCTTCATATATAGTGCTGTTTAGGAAATATTCTTCAATTGGTGAATGAAAGGATTTCACCAACTTCCCCTTTTTTCTAGTTTGCTTTCCTTTCTTTCTTCAACAACAAAGAAAGAAAGAAAGGAGTAGAACTGAAAAGAACAGAGTGATTAGATCTATAAATGATCAAACAGTAATGCAGAAGATGAAAGGGGACAGATCTCATCTGTTTTTTTCCCGGCATGCCTTGAACTCTGAGATTTTAAAAAATAGATAATTGGCCTACTTCTGATTCGTGCAAAAACAGGGTATTTCCCAAAAAGCTAAGACTATTGCAGGTATTATCAGTTTAATTCTTAATCTTGATTACATATTGGAACCACCTGGAGAACTATTACCAACACTGACATCAGGATCCCACCCCAGACAGTTACGAGAATTTCAGCCTGTGAGATTCAAGCATCTTATGTTTGAAAATTTTTCTCACATGATTTTTATGGGCAGTCAGGGTGTAGAACCACTAGCTTCATTGGAGAAACGTTTGTGAAGACCTATGCATAGTACATCACCTAACTAAGGTTCGCAGCAGCTCTGTAAGGTAAGAGGGGGTCAAGTAGAATAAATCCTGTTTTACAGATAGCACAGTTGTGATTGCTATGAAGTTGCCCATTTTGTAAGTGGTGGACCCAGGAACAGAACCTAAAGCTCAAGAGATTGTTAATTTCATTTCATCTCATTAAGTCCTGCTGCCAAATGCTAATGGGTTTAATTAAGAGGTGTGGGGGGGTCAGGCACAGTGACTCACGCCTGTAATCCCGGCACTTTGGGAGGCCGAGGCAGGTGGATCACGAGGTCAAAAGATTGAGACCATCCTGGCCAAGATGGTGAAACCCCATCTCTACTAAAATACAAAAATTAGCTGGGCATGGTGGCACATGCCTGTAGTCTCAGCTACTCAAGAGGTTGAGACAGGAGAATTGCTTGAACCCGGGAGGCGGAGGTTGTTGTGGGCCAAGGTCACATCACTGCACTCCAGCCTGGTACCTCGGGACAGAGCGAGACTCTGTCTCAAAAAAAAAAAGAGAGAGAGAGAGAGAAATGGTTAGCAGTGCCATTCCTTGCCATCCCTCATTTAGTTGTGCATTCCTTCCAGTTCATCTCCATTCACCTCTCTGCATTTATCTTTTGTTCCTGGATGCAGGAACTAAATAAAAAGAGGACCCAGAAGGAGATGGAGCATGCCATGCTAATCCGGCATGACGAGTCCACCCGAGAGCTAGAGTACAGGCAGCTGCACACGTTACAGAAGCTACGCATGGATCTGATCCGTTTACAGCACCAGACTGAACTGGAAAACCAGCTGGAGTACAATAAGAGGCGAGAAAGGGAACTGCATAGAAAGCATGTCATGGAACTTCGGCAACAGCCAAAAAACTTAAAGGTAAGAGGAGATAGCATTTCCCTGTTTGTGCTTCTGGACTGTGTTGGACCAGATCAATGGTTTCTATACCTGAAGTGTCAGAGTCACCTGAGCAACTTTTCAGACTCATAAATTTCTGTGCCCCGCACCTACTACCTCAGAATCTCCAGTTGTAAAGCACAGAGTCTGTATTTAAGCTCCTAAAAAAAGAGATGTAGCAGGCTGGTTTGGAAACTATGATTCTACTACATTATCTATCAGTTTGTCATCGTGTCCATTAAGGAATTTCTCTGAGCGCTTCATGACCTGCCCTCTTCAAAACTGGACTAATAGCAGTTTATAGTTCTAATCCCAGGAAATAAGGAAGTTATGTTGGCCTTAGGTGCTTTGAGCACTGCTGTATTGAGAAAGACTCTAAAGCCATGTCCAAGTTTAGGAGGAAAGAGTGTCATTTATTAGTGATGTCTGTCATGGTCATGAGGAACGAATCTACGATTGCCAGGCATTTACCACTTCTGCACTAGAGATGCGGAGATATAGAGGAACTAGTTTGGCCCTCACTGCCTCCAGCTAATTTTAGCTGACTGCTGATCAACAAGCTCCACATACTAAGCCATTGCTATATATCAATGAGGACATTGTCAATGTTGGCACAGACATGAGGCCAACCTCGACCACACTGGCTCTGCATCTCTTCAGCGAAATCCTAAGCTAAGCAGTGATTTCTATCACCATAAGTCCTCAGAGTGTTCATGAAGTGCACAGATGATTATGGGCAACCTGATGGAATGCTTTCTGGGCTTAAAATAATATACTCTACCTTCTCCTTACCCAAATGCATATTTGATATTGCTACATGCAAGCACAACCTCTTAATGGGGGAAAAATTGTAAAACACTCTTCTCTTTCAGTTTACATTGAAATTCAGTAGAAATGGGTTAGGATATGAGGTACTATCCATATGTTCTCCTTTATGGAGTTGATAAGAAATTGCTATAAACCAGAGCAGTGAGAGCTGGCTGATGTAATGCTATCCCTCCCTCACTTGGAAACAGGGAGAAATATAAAAACAAAAATAAGGAAAAAACCAGTGAACAATGGGAGACACTGAAGACTCTGACTAGGAAGGCATGAAAAGAATTGTCACCCTTTCAACAAGCTAGGCCTCATAATGTCCCTCAATCTGCTCAGAGCCCTCATCCCCTTGTGAGAGTTCATATTTTCTTTGAAGCCATTTATAAATTCAAAATTACTTATATTCATTCACTATAAAATCATAAGTGTAGGCAGGGTTAACTCTTGTCTGTGTCATACATTCTGCTTCATTTTTATTGATTAGCAACATGGGTCACTGCACCAACAAACAGATGGTCTCAGCACTTGTATTATATCGTTATGATAGAAGGCTTTCCATTTTTACTGATGTGTCTTTATTTTTCCTTTGTCACTTTTTCTACCCAGGCCATGGAAATGCAAATTAAAAAACAGTTTCAGGACACTTGCAAAGTACAGACCAAACAGTATAAAGCACTCAAGAATCACCAGTTGGAAGTTACTCCAAAGAATGAGCACAAAACAATCTTAAAGACACTGAAAGATGAGCAGACAAGAAAACTTGCCATTTTGGCAGAGCAGTATGAACAGAGTATAAATGAAATGATGGCCTCTCAAGCGGTAAGTGGTTAGGTTTGGTGCCACGGCTTCAAGAGCTTTGGGAATCAAGAAAATCCAAGATCCAGCCTGTTGTTCCCAAGATGATTCTTGCACAAATTTAGCATATTGATGTTTTTCTGCCCAAAGGACTGAGGAAAGGACGACGCTGAATAAAGCCAAGCCAATGTGGATACTTGCCGGAGTGTCTTATAAGATGGAACTCAAGGAATGACATGCCACATCAGACCTGTGGCACACAGGGAATTTGAGGGCAAATGTGATAGATGCCACATATGATACCATTTGTTCATTTATCAAAGGTTTTACTGACTGCCCTCCCCGCAACTAATATCAGGCACAAATGAATCAGACAGTCCCTGCCCTTAGGGAGCCCACAGTCAAGTGAGGAAGACAGATACACAGACGCGCTCATTCAATAAACTTGTATTAAGCATCAGGGTTCAGCACTCTGCTGGACCTCGAGATGGAGGATGAGCTAGCCAATTTGTCAGTCAAGCCAGGTGGTCAGATAATTAACCAGTAATAGTAAAACATAGTAAGTGATTTTAAGTGGGAGGTATTGGGGGTTATGGGAGAACAAGTAGGACCAACTAAGCTGGTCTAAGAAAATCTTCCCGGAGGGAGCCAAGAAACTTAAAGGAATTCATTGATGTTAACTGATTCCTTGAAAATGGGACGTACATAGGCAAAGGTTCAAACAAAGAAATTATATGGAGATGGGTGTGAGCCCAGAGTTCAAGCAGAAAGATTGCAGGACCCAAAATGGAGAGGTCATAAAGGGAGCTTGGGATGGGAGCTTGCCTGGTAATTCAGTGACGATTTCCCAAGGAGATGACTCTTAAAGAGTAAGAGTTTAGCTGGGTGCGATGGCTCACACCTGTAATCCCAGCACTTTGGAGGCCAAGATGGGCGGGTCACCTGAGGTTGGGAGTTCGAGACCACCCTGATCAACATGGAGAAACCCTGTCTCTACTAAAAATACAAAATTAGCCAGGTGTGGTGGTGCATGCCCGTAATCCCAGCTACTCAGGAGGGTGAGGCAGGAGAATCACTTGAACCCAGGAGGCAGAGGTTGCAGTGAGCCAAGATTGCGCCATTGTACTCCAGCCTGGGCAACAAGAATGAAACTCCATCTTAAAAAAAAAAAAGTAATAGTTTACCAAAAAGGCATAAGAGAAAAAGTTATTCCTGACAAAGGATACAGTATATACAAAGACTCAGAGGCCTGAAAGAGGATGGCACATTTGAGAAACAATGAGTAATTGCTATGGCAAGGGTATAGGATGCTAATTGAGGGAAAGTGGGAGGAGAGTCAGGGTCAGAGCCTCAGAAGCCAAGAGTTTGGACATTATCTTGCAAGCAATGGGGAGTTGTCGAAGCCTGTTTTAAGAAGGAGAGTATAACTGGATTAGATTTGTGTTACAGAAAGATATTGGCAGAAATGTGGCAAATATAGGTAAAGAGACCTGTTAGGAAGCCATTATAATAGTCCAGGAAAAGGATGATGAGAGAACATGCTAATGGAGATGAACAGGAGCAGGGAAGGGTTTGAGGAATACTTAGGAGGCAAGAAAGAACAGAAATAACAGTGACCAATTTGAGAGGTTTGACAACAGAGTACAATAGAGCATTATCTTACCAAGACAGGACAATAAAAGAAAGAGTGAGTTTGGATGCTGCAAGGATAATTGACTAAGTTGTAGACATGGTATCTGAGTTTTGTGGGTGTCCAGGTAGAGAAGTACAGATAATGGAAACCTGTAGTTTAGGAGGGATGTCAAGATTGAAGACAGAAAGCTAGACTTCATTGTTATATGGGTGTACTTGTGGCTGGTAGGAATAGATGAGATCTGCTGGGGACAGGAGATATTCTTAGCGAGGAAAGAACTAAGGACAGAGTCTGGTGGATACCAACATTTGAGGGCTGAGTAGAAGTAGAACAAAAATAAATAATCAGAGACACAGGAAGGGAACCAGAAGAGAGGATGCCACAGGAGCCAGAGCAAGAGTTTCTAACTGATGGCGTCACATGTCACAGAGATCAATTAGAAGAATAAACGTTGAGGTGCTTGTTGGACCTGGCACTGGATTCAACCATTGCTTGTCTCAGACAATCAATGGAGTGGTGGGAATGGGAGACATGATAGAGCATTGAAAGAGGGATTATAAAGTGAAATCCAAATGGTAGGTGATGGACCACTTTTCCCAGATCCTTATCAATGAAGGAAAAGAGAACAAGAGCTGTAGAAAAAGGAGGAGATAGTTGAAGGAAGAACTGTTAGTTGGGAGAGGCTTAAGCATGCATGTTCTTAGGCCAAGGATGGGAGCTAGCACATTTATCCACTCACCTATCCAACAAGTATTTACTGAGTGCCTATATGATGTACCAGGTATCCAGAGATACCGTGGTGGATAAGACAGTCATGGATCACATCCTCATGGAGGTTATGGAAGCATGGAGGACACAGACACTGGAAAAGTCTACTCTGTGTAACAGCACAGCAAGAGCAAGGTGCCAACAGAGTACAAAACAGGAGAGCTTACCTGGTCTGGAGAGTCGGGAGAGGCCTCCCTGACACAGTGGCTTTGTAGGCTGAGGAACCTGCACATGAGAAACACGTGTAAACGTGGGGAAGACAGTGGCACTTGGGAAGAATTCACAGAAATCCGTTATGTTTGGGATGTAGGGAACAGAGAGGACTAGCAGAACAAGACTGGAGGGGTAAACAGGAGGGGTCATGTAGGGGCTTTCAGGCTTTGTTAAGAATTTTTGTCTTTATCCAAAACAATGGAAAGCCACTGGCGAGTATTAAGCAAGGTGTGACATTAGATTTGTGTTTCGAACCATCACTCTGGTGACATGGAGAATGGCCTGGGAGAAGGGAAGAATGAATATTAGGAGACGATTTGTGAAGTTACTTTTACCTCAGGTACCAGAGCCTGGTAGCTAGACTAGAAAAGGGGCAGTCGGGATGAAGGGGAACATTACTAACTTTGGCAGGAGGTGGAGTTGAGAGTACTTAATGACAGGTTGGATTCGGAGAGTCTGGTGTTCAGGATGACTTCCAGTCTATGGTTTGAACAAAACAGTAGATGATGGGCTGGGCATGGTGGCTCATGCCTGTAATCCCAGCACTTTGGGAGGCCGAAGTGGGTAGATCACCTGAGGTCAGGAGTTCAAGACCAGCATGACCGACATGGTGAAACCCTGTCTCTACTAAAAACAAAAATTGGCTGGGTGTGGTGGCATGCACCTGTAATCCCAGCCACTCAGGAGACTGGGGGCAGGAGAATTGCTTGAACTCGGGAGGCAGAGGTTGCAGTGAGCTGAGATCACGCCACTGCACTCCAGCCTGGGTGACAGAGTGAGACTCTATCTCAAAAAAAAAACAGTAGATGATGGTCTACGTATATTTACCTATATGGTAAAAAAGGAGGTGGAACAGACTGGGGAGTGGGAAGGAAAAGGTGATGTGTTGGCTGTGTGGAGCCTGAGAGCCTGGGAAATATCCAGCGGAGGGTGTCTCTAGTAGACTAGAGGAGCTCATCCAAATCTCAGAAGGGAAGTCTGAAATAGATGTTTAGTGTGGGAGCCATTTGTATAAATGGTAATTGAGGCTTTTGAAATAGATGAGATTCTTAGGAAGAGAGGTTAGAGGAAGAAGAGGGCCCAGGACAAAGCCCTTAGGAACACCCACATTTAAGCATCAGGTGGGTAAAGACTACTGGAAAAGGAATAGTCAGAGTGTGAAGAGAAGAGTGCAGAAAGAGGTGAAAGGCAAAGAGAAGGAAGGAAGTTGATAGAGACATAAAGGTTGATAGGGTTTCTGTCTTGTTAATCTTTATATTCTCGGCATCTGCAACAGCGCATGGCATACAGCAAGTGTTCAATGAATGTTTGTCATATAAAATGGTAGAGACCAGGTGCAGTGGCCCATGCCTGTAATCGCAACACTTTGGGAGGCTGAAGCGGGAAGGGAGGGTCACTTGGAGCCAAGAATTCTTGACCAGCCTGGGCAACATAGCAAGAGTCTGTCTGTACAAAAAATACAAAAATTAGCCAGTTATGGTGTTACATGCCTGTAGTCCCAGTGACTCAGGAGGCTGAAGCAGGAGGATCACTCAAGCACAGGAGTTCAAGGCTTCAATGAGCTAGGATCACACCACTGCACTCCAGCCTGGGCAGCACAACAAAACGGACTAAAAAAAATAAATAAGATGAGAGAGAACAGGATCAGAAATAGAGGTCAATGATTGCCCTTGAATAAAAGGAGAGAAGTGTCCTTTCTTCTGAGACAGGGAGAAGATAAAAGTATGTGATCATTACAGTATCCTTTACTGACTACTTACCATGTGGCAAGTACAATGTTAAGTATTTCATAAATGTTATCTCATTTAATTTTTGTGAAACCCCTTTGAAGTAGTTACTGGTTTGACCCTAATTTACCTGTGAGAAAACTGAAGTTTACTGAAGTGAAGCTACTTGCTTAGATAAGGAGTGGCAAATGTTGTAAACGGACAGATAGTCATTAGCTTTGTGGACCACAGGGTCTCTGTCACAACTACTCAGCTTTGCCATTGTAGCACAAATGCAGCCATAGGCAAAATATAAATGAATAAGTATACTGATGTCTAATAAAATTTTATTTACAGCCAGGGCACGGTGGCTCATGCCTGTAATCCCAGCATTTTGGGAGGCCGAGGTGGATGGATCACCTGAGGTCAGGAGTTCAAGACCAGCGTGGCCAACCTGGTGAAAAGCTGTCTCTACTAAAAATACAAAAATTAGCCAGGAGTGGTGGTGCATGCCTATAATCCCAGCTACTCAGGAGGCTGAGGCAGGAGAATCACTTGAACCCAGGAGGCAGAGATTGCAGTAAGCCGAGATTGCACCATTGCACTCCAGCTTGGGCAGCAGAGTGAGACTTTGTCTCAAAAAAACAGAAAAAAGAAAAAAACTTTATTTACAAAAACAGGTATCAGGCCAGATTTGGCCCATGGGCTGCAATGTGTCAACCCCTGGCTTGGGAACAAGGGGGAAGATCACATGACTAATTAGTGGTGAAGCTAGGATTTGAACCCAGCTTGGGGGTAATCCTGTAAACCTCGTATCTTTTTCTTCAATGTAAACCACTGTAAAGAACACACATATTTACCTATACTCTTATAAAACTTTTTAATGGAGCCAGGCACCATGGCTCACGCCTATAATCCCAGTACTTTGGGAGGCCGAGCTGGGCAGATCATCTGAGGTCAGGAGTAGCCTGGCCAACGTGGTGAAATGCCATCTCTACTAAAAATACAAAAAATTAGCTGGGCCGGGTGGCGCTTGCCTGTAATCCCAGCTACTCGGGAGGCTGAGGCAGGAGAATCACTTGAACCCGGGAGATGGAGGTTGCAGGGAGCTGAGATCACACACCACTGCACTCAGCCTGGGCAACAGAGTGAGACTCTGTCTCAAAACAACTTTTTAATGGATATGATTTGTGTAACCTTGGGTGATAAATACCAAATGCTGGAATATCCTCTGGTTTCTAGCACTGGGCCTTCAGAATCAGAGCTGGTACAGAACAATGGTACCAGTTACTGATAATGATAATAGAAGGCTAGAAATAAAAGGAAATGGAGATGTTCTGAATGTTTAAATAGTTTAGATGGTCTAAACTGACCATGGAATGAACCTCTCACCCACTTAGCCAGGGCTTACGGCAACTAATGCAGACGAGTAGAAAAGAACAGTACTTTTACTTCCTTTACTGGTAAGGAACCTCCCATATCAAGAGGGAATCAGTAACAACCCTCATTTGGAGCCAGTAAATCCTTTGGCATTTACCTGTGAGTCTGTTCCTGCTGAATGCTATGTATTGTGTCTAGTGTCTCATCCCTTCATTCCTTATTAGGAAAATGAGAACTATCTGTCCTCTTTAACGATTTTAATGAAACCTGGTTAGGATTAATTTTTAGAAAGTACTTTGGAAATACGATTACATAATTTATGTTCCTTTGATCTTGATAGTGTTTCTCCAGAAGTACTAAAAGAAGACACATGCAAATAACTCTAAAAATACTGTAATATAACATTTCAAAAACTAATTTTTCAATCAAAATATGTATATTGTCACAAATTGTACGTAAGGTGGAGAATAAGTATCTTGGAAAAGTGGTCAATATGGAAACACACAGATGAGCTCAGGGCAGATGGACTGTCTGATTCAAGGGTTCTAATTTCATAGTTCTCAGCCAAGCTGAGGACCTGCCAAAATGGAACCAAACCAAGCCTGCGACCAGAGGTCATCATTCCTAAATACTGTCCTGATGATGGTCTGAAACCTTCAACTCTGCTTTAGAGAAGTTGGCACTTCTACTTGGTTCATTCTCCACACAGCATCTGGGTATCTTGTATAAAATGAAGTTCAGACTGGGCACGGTGACTCACACCTGTAATCCCAGCACTTTTGAGAGACCAAGGCTGGTGTATCACCTGAGGTCAGGAGTTGGAGACCAGCCTGACCGACATGGAAAAATCCCGTCTCTACTAAAAATACAAAATTAGCTGGGTGTGGTGGCACACGCCTCTAATCCCAGCTACTTGGGAGGCTGAGGCAAGAGAATCACTTGAACCTGGAGGCAGAGGTTGCAGTGAGCCAAGATCGCACCATTGCACTCCAGCCTGGGCAACAAAAGCGAAACTCTGTCTCAAAAAAAAAAAGACAAAGTTCAGGTGCTGCAGGGAGCAAGGGAAACTTGAGGCTGCAGATAATCTGGACATCACTGCTTCAAAGCAGATATGCTTCTTAAAATTAAGCCTACCTACCCTCTTTAGGAAAGAGATTTTTTTTTTTTTAATGAGACAAGATCTCTATCTCCCAAGCTGGAGTACAGTGGTGTGATCATAGCTCACTGCAGCCTCAAACTCCTGGGTTCAAGAGATGATTCTGCCTCACTCTCCCAAAGTAGCTGGGACTACAGGCATATGTTACCATGTCTAGCTAATTTTTTAAAAAAAATTTTATAGAGATGGTGGTCTCACAATATTGCCCAGGCTGGCATTGAACTCCAGGCCTCAAGCAATCCTCCCACCCTGGTCTCCCAAAACACTGAGTTAACAGAGGTGAGCCACCAGCCAGGGAAGAGATTTTGAACCACTTAGAGTTTCGGATTGGCTGGCTAACAAGATAACTTTGTTGTTGTTGTCGAGATGGAGTTTCGCTCTGTCTCCAGGCTAGAGTGCTGCAGTGAGGTGGCGTGATCTCGGCTTACTGCGACCTAACCTCCCAGATTCAAGTGATTCTCCTGCCTTAGCTTCCTGAGTAGCTGGGACTACAGGTGTGCATCACCACGCCCAGCTAATTTTTATATTTTTAGTAGAGACGGAGTTTTACTATGTTGCCCAGGATGGTCTCGATCTCTTGACCTCATGATCCACCTGCCTTGGCCTCCCAAAGTGCTGGGATTACAGACGTGAGCCACCACACCCAGCTGCAAGATAACTTTTATAGCCAACAGTGGGTGCCAATGTTACTACTTGGAGCATAACAGTACTGTGGTGTATTCCTCAAGTTTTATGAAAATTGGATTCATTTTTTATAGCTAAGCATACCTAAATGATTTTAGGGTTAAAGATCTTGAAATAGGGACATGATCAGTTGAAACCAAAATAATGATAACAGCTACTATTTATTGAACACTTAGTATGCCTTGAGAACTGTGCCTAGGATTTTATATGAATTATTTCATTTAATCCTCCCACCAATCTCAGACAATAGGAACTATTCTTTTTTTTTTTCCTTTTGAGACAGAGTCTCGCTCTTGTCACCCAAGCTGGAGTGCAGTGGCATGATCTCAGCTCACTGCAACCTCCGCCTCCCAGGTTCAAGCGATTCTCCTGCCTCAGCCTCCTGAGTAGCTGGAATTACAGGTGCCTGCCACCATGCCTGGCTAATTTTTGTATTTTTAGTAGAGATGGGAGTTTCTCCATGTTGGCCAGGCTGGTCTCAAACTCCTGACCTCAGGTGATCTGCCCGCCTCAGCCTCCCAAAGTGCTGGGATTACAAGCATGAGCCACCACACCTGGGCAATAGAAACCATTTTTTTTATTTTCTTGAGGATGAAACGTGAGATCTAGGGAGGTAGGTAATGTGCCAAGGTAACACAACCAAGTGGATGTTGTGGCTAGAATTCAAGCCCAGGAGCTGACTTCAAAGCCCACAGGCTTAATTCCTGGGCTATGTAGCCTTTCTGATGCCTGCTGCTGTGGTTTCAGACCATACTGAAAAGAATGTGTACTTTGCAGGCCATTGGGTAGACTTGACTGTTTTTGATTTCTAACTCTGAATGTATCCAAAGCATCTGTGTTTTTGAGGGGGAACCAATAAAATGAGGAAACCTCTTCCAGTAGTCACCAAGAGCTGTAGGCAAGGGTGCATGATAGTGTGTGTCTTCTGTGCCCACAGTTACGGCTAGATGAGGCTCAAGAAGCAGAATGCCAGGCCTTGAGACTACAGCTCCAGCAGGAAATGGAGCTGCTCAACGCCTACCAGAGCAAAATCAAGATGCAAACAGAGGCACAACATGAACGTGAGCTCCAGAAGCTAGAGCAGAGGGTGTCTCTGCGCAGAGCACATCTTGAGCAGAAGGTATGAAGGCATTACCGGGGGTCCATGCCACTGGGTGGAAGGGGGTGTGGCTGAGGGAACTGCCATATGTGGAAACTTCCTTAGTTGGAGATTAAAGTGGACACTTTTCACTTACCTGCTTTATGCTACTGGTACCCTTGTGAAGTAGGCATTGTCTCCATTCTACAGGCCAAAACACCAAGACATGCATGTCTGACCCCACATCCTAAGTCTTTCTGCTACTCTGCTAGGAAACCCTTAATGTTCCCAGCCATAGAGTGACATGGGTTGCTGGGGGATTGATGTGACACCTGAAAGGTACTGTGAGCTGCTAGCAGCGCTGCCAAATGGCACAAGGAAGCCAAATGTATAATAGATTTGGCTCTTCAGCTATTTTTAAACCAAGGGAAATCACCAGCAGGTCTCTTTAAAAAAAAATTAAAATGACGATAGGCTGATACTGCAGTGCATAATAAATGTTATCCCAACTGAAATATTCATTGCTTTAGATATTCTGAGGAATATGAAGTAGAAAAGATTTCATAAGGCATCTCAAAGCTGTTAAGCATTTATTCACTTAACCAGTTATTTGCACTTTCTTCCAGTAGTTCCCTGAGACCAGCATCACAGACTATTTTCCCAGCCCCTGTTCTAGAACTAAATTACTAATGACCCAGGAGGCATTTGGCTCTCTATGGGAAAGCAGCACAATCTAATTGTGCTTGAGTGTCTTTTAGCTTCTCCTGAGCCATTCCCGGCTAAGACAGGACATTAACCTAGATCAGCCCAGCTGCTGGGCTTGCTAGAGTGGCGTTGCCGGTCTCAGGTGGGCCCCAAACATTTTTATTCTTGTGAGCAAGTTTTTAATATAATGGATTAGATTCATTGATCACAGGACTCAGCCAGCCTTCCTCGGCCCTCCCTTAGTTCCTGTGTGTACATGTCACATGTGTGCCTATGTGTGTACATATCATATGTGTGTCTGTGTGTACATCGTATGTGTGTATGTGTGTGCATCATGTGTGTCTGCATGTCATATGTGTGCCTGTGTGCATGTCGTGTGTCTGTGTGTGCATGTCATGTGTGCCTGTGTGTATATGTCATATGTATGCCTCTGTGTGCATGTGCCTGTGTATGATGTGTACCTATGTGTCATGTGTGTGCCTGTGTGTATGTCATGTGTGTATATGTCATGTGTGCATATGTGTGCCTGTGTTTATGTCATGTGTGTGTATGTGTGTGTGTACATGTCATATGTGTGCCTGTGTCTGTAATGCGTGCATGTGGGTGCCTGTCAGGAGATGCTTTCCATTAAGAACTTCCTTATGCTTGTTTCAGATTGAAGAGGAGCTGGCTGCCCTTCAGAAAGAACGCAGCGAGAGAATAAAGTACCTATTGGAAAGGCAAGAGCGAGAGATTGAAACTTTTGACATGGAGAGCCTCAGAATGGGATTTGGGAATTTGGTTACATTAGATTTTCCTAAGGAGGACTATAGATGAGATTAAATTTTTTGCCATTTACAAAAAAAAGAAAACAGACAAAAATTCAGACCCTGCAAAACCACATTCCCCATTTTAACGGGCGTTGCTCTCACTCTCTCTCTCTCTTACTCTTACTGACATCGTGTCGGACTAGTGCCTGTTTATTCTTACTCCATCAGGGGCCCCCTTCCTCCCCCCGTGTCAACTTTCAGTGCTGGCCAAAACCTGGCCGTCTCTTCTATTCATAGTACACGTCACAGTATTGATGTGATTCAAAATGTTTCAGTGAAAATTTTGGAGACAGTTTTAACAAAACCAATAAACCAACAACAAAAAAAAGTGGATGTATATTGCTTTAAGCAATCACTCATTACCACCGATCTGTGAAAGTAAAGCAAAAAAATAATAATAATAATAAATGCCAAGGGGGAGAGAGACACAATATCCGCAGCCTTACACCTTAACTAGCTGCTGCATTATTTTATTTTATTTTATTTTTTTGGTATTTATTCATCAGGAATAAAAAAAAAACAAAGTTTTATTAAAGATTGAAAATTTGATACATTTTACAGAAACTAATTGTGATGTACATATCAGTGGTGACATATTATTACTTTTTTGGGGACGGGGGGTGGGTGGGGTGAAGAGATCTTGTGATTTTTAAGAACCTGCTGGCAAGAGTTTAACTTGTCTTCAGCATATTCTGATTGTATCATAATCATTTTCTGCTGTTGCAGAGGATGTGAATACACTTAAGGAGCTCACAGAATCCCAGTAGCACAAATTGGGCTTTGGCAAATCGTGTATTTTGTGTATAGAAGGAATTTAAGGAGAGGTATTACTTATTTTCATATTGTATTTTAACTGTTTCTCTGATCAAATTTTTTTACTTCCTCCTCCTGTTCCTCCCCACCTTCCTCCTTTTCCAATTCAGTATTTGGAGTTCAACACTGTCTCTCAATCAGATCATCTTGATCGTTTTCTTTATTTCCCTTTCCCTTCCTAAGTCCCATTTCTTGGTCATAAATATTGCATTATTCACACTTTCAAACTGTGTATTTTCTTACAATAAAAAATGATGAAAAAAAAAAAGGCTTTACTTCTTTTGCATGCACTTTAAAAACAAAACATTTTTCAGGTTCCAAGGAAGAGCATGATAACTGTCAGAGCTTTTAATTATATTTGTAAATAAAAGTGTTCATCACATCGCCTTGCTGTGTTATTGTAGCAGGAGGTTTCCCTTCTAGGTTCACCGGTTCACAATTCGGAGGGCCACCACCCTCCTGAGACTGTTCTCTATAGCCTTGGTCACTCCAAGAAGAGCCATTCAGGACTCTCAGGTAAAGCTGTGTCTTCCAAATTCTACGGGGCTGAAGATAGTGTTGCACCATTTGATGTGGGCCCATGGTCAACTGCACCTTTCTGTCCTTAAGAATAGAAGGCATGGGCCGGGCGTGGTGGCTCATGCCTGTAATCCCAGCACTTTGGGAGGCAAGGCAGGTGGATCACGAGGTCAGGAGTTCAAGACCAGCCTGGCCAAGATGGTGAAACCATATCTCTACTAAAAATACAAAAAAATTAGCCAGGCATGGTGGCAGGTGCCTGTAATCTCAGCTACTCGGAAGGCTGAGGCAGAGAATTGCTTAAACCTGGGAGGCAGAGATTGCAGTGAGCCAAGATCGTGCTGCTGCACTCCAGCCTGGGTGACAGAGTGAGATTCCATCTCAAAAGAAAAAAAAGAACAGAAGGCATGCACACACACACCCACACTCCCCCCGCCATGTGCCACTCATACATAGAAGCATGCGTTGCTGAACAGAGAAATTAGGCACCCTTAAAGAAAAGCAGGCTATGGAGAAGGCACTATAACCAAATATTTGAAATGATCCCACTGTAATATGAGATCACCCTCCCCTCATATTCTGATTTTATTACAGTAATTTTACATGTAAAACAATGAGATAGTAAAAAATACAACATTTCTGGGATATGATTTGGGGGTCAGGACAATCTCAGTAAGATCTTATTTTGCTGTTACTCTGTTTTGTTTTGTCTTAGGCTTTCAGCAGCCTGAAGCTATGGTTTTTGGTTTCTGTGTCTAGGGATAAGTGGAAAAGGGGGATGAGAGAAGGGCTTTACTGTCCCAACCACAAACAGAAACTAAGAACCCATGACTGTGTCATCTCCCTTGGACACTCCTGGAAATTGCTCTTTAGAATATGATGACCTGGGGCAGGCCCGGTGGCTCACGCCTATAATCCCAGCACTTTGGGAAGACTAGGCGGGTGGATCACCTGAGGTCAGGAGTTCAAGACCAGCCTGGCCAACACGGTGAAACCTTGTCTCTACTAAAAACACAAAAAATTAGCTGGGTGTGATGGCAGGTGTTTGTAATCCTAGCTACTTGGGAGACTGAGGCCGGAGAAACACTTGAACCCAGGAGGCAGAGATTGCAGTGAGCCTCAATCACGCCATTGCACTCCAGCCTGGGCAACAAGAGTGAAACTCTGTCTCAAATATATATATAATGACTTGAATTATTACTTTTTTGGGGATGGGGGTAGGTGGGGTGAAGAGACCTTGTGATTTTTAAGAACCTGCTGGCGAGAGTTTAACTTGTCTTCAGCATATTCTGATTGTATCATAATCATTTTCTTGTTTCCTACAGGATATTCATATGTCAGAGACAAATGTGACCAGTTGTGTTCACTACGATAGACTGAAGTGGAAAGGTATATTCATAAAGTTAATTATCAACATGGGTTAACCCCAACCATAAAACCTTTTGTAACCATCACACTCAGTGATAATTACGTTTCCTAAGTAGCTTTGTTCATTGGAGTTTCTATATTAGGTACATCTGAAAATGATATTGGAAAGGGCTAGAAAGAAGATATGCAGTTATCCAAGAGAAACAGATAATGTGGATGGTGCGCTTATCTTGCTGCGTGATGGAACACTATCATTTCACAGATGAAGAAATAAGCTCACGCCAGGGTAAGTGGCTGGGTGGGATCTGAATCGAGATCTGTCTGATCTCCGCACCCACACCCAAAGGGATATTCAATTTTCAGAAAGGTGGAAAAGCTTCTTTTAGCCTATTTCATCCATTTCTCTCTAGTGAAAAATGTCTAACTAGCTTGGGAGAGGGCCCTATGTCTGAGATTGTAGGTGCTATCTTTATAGAACATCTTGGTGGCTCTCGGCTGTAATCCCAGCACTTTGGGAGACCAAGGAGAGTGGATCACCTGAGGTCAGGAGTTTGAGACCAGCTTGGCCAACATAGTGAAACCCTGTCTCTACTGAAAATACAAAAATTAGCTGGACATGGTAGTGAACACCTGTAATCCCAGCTACTCGGGAGGCTGAGGCAGGAGAATTGCTTGAAACTGGGAGATGGAGATTGCAGTGAGCCAAGATTGCACCACTGCACTCCCGCCTGGGCAACAGAAATGAGACTCCATCTCAAACAAAAAAAAAAGAAAAAAAGGTCCCTCTGTACAAGTTTGTCAGGGATGTGTCCCAGGGCAGAGTTATCAGGAAGCAGGGATGTGGGTCCCTGCTCTAACCCCTGCTATGGACAGAGTTGTCCAACTCCTAGTACCTGCCTGAGAAGGCAGGGACAAGGATGGCAGTAAAAGGCCAGGTGCAGTGGCTCATGCCTATAATCCCAGCACTTTGGGAGGCTGAGGCAGGCAGATCACTTGAGGTCAGGAGTTCGAGACCAACCTGGCCAACATGGCGAAACCCTGTCTTTACTAAAAATACAAACATTAGGTGGGCGTGGTGGCAGGCTCCTGTAATCCCAGCTACTCAGGAGGCTGAGACAGGAGATGCGCTTGAACTTGGGAGGTGGATGTTGTAGTGAGCCAAGATTGCACCACCGCACACTAGCCTGGGTGACAAAGCAAGACTCCCGTCTCGAAAAAAAAAGGATGGCAGCTAGAAAACAAGTATGAAAGAGAAAAAGAGCCAGTGTCCTGTAGTCTTCCAGCATGTACTAAACTCTCCTGAGTTAAAAAGTTATTACAGATTTGTCATGCATATTAGTGAGGAAGGACGAATTACCTTTGATTCGTGATTATTCATTTAATGAATATTTACTGAGTACCTTATATGTCATGCCAGACTAGACACTAGAGATACACTATTGTATCTCAAACAGGTGAAGATCCCTGCCCTAATGGAACCTACATTAGACGTAGGAGGAAACTGGGAGCAAACAGTAATTATGATAAATAAAGGATCTTATGCAGTAATAAGTGCTAGGGATGAAGAAAAAAATAGGGAAGGGTGGCCAGGCGAGGTGGCTCATGCCTGCAATCCCAGCACTTTGGGAGGCCAAGGACAGGCAGATTGCTTGAGGTCAGGAGTTCAAGACCAGCCTGGCCAACCCATCTCTACCAGAAAATATAAAAATTAGCCAGGCATGGTGGCACACACTGTAGTCCCAGCTACTTGGGAGGCTGAGGTGGGAGAATCACTTGAACCCGGAAGGCAGAGGTTGCAGTGAGCCAAGATTGCACCACTGTACTCCAGCCTGGGCAACAAAGTGAGACCCTGTCTCACAAAAAATAAAAAATAAAAAAATAAGGAAGGTTAATGGAGATCAGAAGTGCCAGGATCAGTTGGGCATGGTGGCTCACGCCTGTAATCCCAACACTTTGGAAGGCCAAGATTGCTCGAGCTGAGGAATTTGAAAACAGCCTAGGCAACACAGTGAAACTCCATGATCTGGTCTGGCTCTGTGTCCTCAACCCAGTCTCATGTGGAATTGTAATTCCCAATGCTAGGGGAGGGACCTGGTGGGAGGTGATTAGATCATTGGAGTGGATTTTCCCACTGGCTGTTCTCGTGATAGTGAGTTCTCATGAGATCTGGTTGTGTTTTGTTTGCTTTGTTTTGAGACAGTGTCTCACTCTATTGCTTAGGCTGGAGTGCAGTGGCGTGATCTTGGCTCACTGCATCTCTGCCTCCCAGGTTCAAGCAATACTCCTGCCTCGGCTTCCCGGGTAGCTGGGATCACAGGCACTCACCACCATGCCAGGCTAATTTTTGTATTTCCAGTAGAGATGGGGTTTCACCATGTTGGTCAGGCTGGTCTCAAACTCCTAACCTTGTGATCCACCTGCCCCGGTCTCCTAAAATGCTGGGATTACAGGTGTAAGCCACTGCGCCCGGCCAATCTGGTTGTTTTAAAAGTATACAGCACTTTCTCTCATGCTCTTTCTCCTGCACCATGTGAAGATGCGCTGGCTTCCTCTTGCCTTCTGCCATGATTATAAGTTTCCTGAGGCCTCCTGAACCATGCTTCCTCTAGAGCCTGTGGAACCATGAGCCAGTTAAACCTCTTTCCTTTATAAATCACCCAGTCTCAGGTATGTATCACAGTTTGGGAACAGACTAATACACCCCATCTCTACAAAAATTAGCCGGAAATAGTGGCATGTGCCTGTGAGCCCAGCTACTCGGGAGCCTGAGGTGGGAGGATCGCTTGAGCCTGGGATGTTAAGGCTGCAGTGAGTCACAGTCATGCCACTGCATTCTAGCCTTAGTGACAGAGTGAGACCCTGTCTTGGAAAAAAAAAGAAGATGCCAGGATCAGCATATGTTTACTCATTCCTTCAGGGAATATTTATTGAGCATCTACTGTGTGCCTGGGGATATGATGATAAATAAAATGGATGAAGCTGGTACTGTGCTGGAGGCTCATGGCTTAAATCTCCATGGAAAAGGAAGTAAATCAACAGTGGACTAGGTTACTCAGCAGTGACTAAGAAGGGCATGACAACACAATACTGGGTGCTACCAGGAGTTTAAAAGAACTCCGATAATACCAGTTATAGGTGGTGTCAGAGAGTGCTTACTAGCATTAACTGCGTCTAACTAGGTAAAATAATTTGTTTTTTAATTTCCCACCATTAGTAATTATTTGTTTATGTATCTACAGGAAAAGAGTATTCTTGGGAAACTGGAAACCTGCCCATGTAAACTCTATATACTCCTCTGACTTTAACTTAGTAAGGTATTTGTAAATATTTTTAAATATTAGAAATGATCACATATGAAAAATACATTATTGGCCAGGCACAGTAGCTCACATTTGTAATGTTAGCACATCTGAGAGGGTAAGGCAGGCAGACTGTCTGAGGTCAGGAGTTCGAGACCATCCTGGGCAACATGGTAAAATCCCTTCTCTATTAAAA